GACTCACCTATAAGCGTTATCCAGTGCCCTTCATCACCCTTTTTTGGTATTCAGAGGGCCGTTCAGGAAAAACAACCATGGTTCTGTGGTTCCCGCATGTGCCCCTATATCATGCAAAGACCGTTTTGAAAAAGCTTGGCACGCCCTGAAGACTTCCTTAAAGGACGAATTCACGATGAAAAAGCAACCCATTTCAAATTAACCTAGGGATGGTGAGTGGTACACGAAAGAAGGAAGAACCATGAGAAACGGCCCAGAACCCGAGAAATGGGACCCAGGCGAAACTCGGGTTCGGGGGGACCACGCGATGGCGCGGTGCTGTTTTCGTCTGCTCTACCAAGGCTTAGTCACCGATGGCGCGTATTTTGAAACTGCCACATAATGGCGAAAGAGTAACTGTCCCTGTGGACTAAGCCTTGGAGGAGCAGACGAACAGAGCGCCGCGCCATCGCGTGGCCCCCCGAACCCGAGTTTCGCCCGGGACCCCTTCCTTGCCCGTTGATTTGCGCATTGATGCGACTCTCATCGCTGTGCCCTCTTCAACACTACGCTCTCTCAGCTATCTAATCACTCGCCACGTATAGACCTGCGGCGAGTGATCAGATGATCGGTGGGCGTGCACTGGCCCACCGCGCCAAGATTGAGCCTTAATAGGTCGCCGAGGTCAACTCCTTCGGTGCCAATGCGCTTCAGTCCGCACCCTCAGGAGGTCCGCGGGTCCCTCAACTAGGTGAATTACTCCTTCTTCGACCTTCATTCTAATCGTGAATTCGTCCTTTAAAAGAGGGACAAGACTGACAAATCAGTCGTAACCTACATACAATCCATATCTCGCCGTCTGGTGGCGTGCCACCGTAAATGACGTGGCCACCACCGCCCTTGGTAGAAGTCGTGCGGATAAGCTGCTCCCATCATAGTTCGCTGGAAATCAGCAGAACATGCTGGAAACATCTTACCACGCAACTTCTATCAAGTGCACAATTGCAGAGGCCACCACGTCAAGTCCGCTGACACGCCCTATTCAGGCGGGGCGACATCACATCTTTATCTAATGAAATTTTGATTGATTCAGGTTACGATACTTCCTCAGACTTGACAACCATCATGGACAACTGCAGGACTTGAAAAAACTCCCTTGGAATGTTTATTTCAAATACTATCGTGATTGCGCAAAACTTTCTAGTAACATTCACACATCAACTGGCTATCTTTTAACATCACTCTACGCTTGAGCAGCTACTAAGCTGGCAAAACAGTTATTCCGCATAAG